TGTAATCGCGGCGTCGTGATTGCCCCCCCCCCTTTCCCCTTGGTTCAGGTTCGATATTTACCAGCAGCAGAACCTGCAATTTCCTGCCACTTAGAACCGAGGGATGTTTCACCCGTTATGAAAACGAGGTTCCACCATCGACGAATGGACAGACGAGGTATAGGAGTAGACATTTCATCTAATGTATTTTTGCAGCCCACTTTTCCGGGGTTACGTACCCCATTTCCATTTTAGTGTCACTACCCACCGCAGATTCACCGTTCTCAAAACGTAGAAGTCCCTAAAATCGTAGGCTTTTTAAGGTGTCGGTACTATAGTTTAGGTGAGCGACCAACTCCCATAAGATGAAAGGTCTATTCTTATACCTCGTCAGTGGCGAATGGATAGCTCGTGGAAGCTTTCGTTTATATCAATAAAAATAGAAATTTAAAAAATTGGCCATATTGCATTACCATTTGAACTACGGGAGATGGAGGGTGGCAATTGCCGTGTGAACGTTGATGATTTGGATAAGATTTGACAGGTTAATTCGACGTTTGCTTTCTAACATCTTCGACGTCGGTTATTTAAAGCTAGTCTGCTTGATGCCAATGAATTATCAATCGAAGGACAATTCGATATTCAGACCGCGTCACCGATACTTTAATAAAAGTTCTTTGCGTATCGATTGCAACAACCTCTGCGTTACTCGCAACTTGAAATGGTGATTAGACGACATAGGGCGTCGTTCGAGTGTGAAAACTGCAATTCTTTTCTTTCTCCTATTCAGCGGGTATAACGGTGTTCTAGCACTTCCGGTCTTTTTAATCGGCAGCAGTTCCATTTTTATGATTCCTACGATGGTCTTTCGGTTTTTTCCCGATCTAATTTCTTATTTCTTAATAATCTTCTCGTTTGCTTCGATTTAAACGTTGTCGCTTTTTTTTTTAATCTTTTCGTTTCTTCCGTTATAAGTGTACTTCTATTTTTTTTTAAATCTTGTATAAATCTGAGAATTCATAAGAAAGTTTCTTGTAACCCAACATCATGTAAAATCTATATTCTAAGGTGAACAGACGATAGAAAAAATGTCTGGTGCCTCGAAAAAGATTCTGTTATTATTAAAATCATTCGGTCTGGTGCGAAAAAAGGGAATTATTGAGAAATTAGGGTATTCGGTATTACAATTATGTGAAATTTAACTTTTCTATCAAAGAAACAGACTAATAAGATACACTAATAATTTCATTAAGACGTACCTAAATTCTACGTTTTATAACCGAAAAATTCTTTTGAAACCTACTTAACGTCTTCGTTTCGTTACGTTTCACACACTGATTTCTGCTACGAATGCATGGAATCCTACAGTCTAGTTACTACTATCCGAACCAAGAATCACACATCTTGGTAGGATGCTCCGCTTTTCCTTTACGACCAAGTTTGTATTCCCATTTACACATCGCAGATAACACAATTCGCAGCTTTCAATTTTTGTTCGCACGAGACGCATATTCTTACGATTACTAGGCGATAAACTGACTTCGTCCCGTGTGAACTGTTTACTATAAACCTATGTTCTGCTAAAACTTAACCCTTTAAGTCCCAGTGTTGCAACTTATTTTGTAAATATCTCGTTTACTATTCGGTTTAGGGCGTGTGAAGGCCATCACATTTTCCCTCAGAATTTGATACTCTATCGATTTATGGTACCAAAAAATAGGTCATTCCGTTAAAAAAATCAAGGTGACCTTGAGATCTCTGAAATGCCTCCACCCACAAAAAAAGTAGTTAAGTAAAAAATTTAGTAAAAAATTTCATAAAGTGTACCGTTCAGTCATTATTCGAGGTCCTCAAGTTAGCTGAGACACCCTGTATTATCGAATAGAACGTATTAAAATGTAGTTGAATTACATGATATTTATGCAAGGCCAAAAGGGAATCACCAAGAATACACTTTGGACCGCAAAGTGTTCGGCATTGTGTGGTATCGTGTTTTTATCCCCCACCCCTACACGTTCTACAGTGTTTGTCGCCAAACACCGGCCGTCTGTGTACCTTCTCGGATCTCACGGAAAAAATCTCGTTCGCGGCGGTGCACGTGCAATCCAGGCGCATCCACGAGGCGACTTACACTGTCGTCCGTGCAAACAAATTTCTATCGCGGTGTAACGTAGGTAGCCCGACCGAGCGAGCGATAGAGTGACGCGTGTGGGCCGTCGTCGTGTCCACGCGTGCAAGCTACCACGCTTGCCTCGCCTCTCCTCTTTAGGGAATAGACAGAGTAGTCCCGTGAACTGATCTATTAGACTAGCGGTTCCCAACCTTATTTAACTTGTGTAGCACTTGTCACAAAATTTCCCTAAATCGTACTCCCCTGTGTTAGCAAAATTGTTGTAATTTATACAGAGTGGACCACGAACTGTTATCAGCTTAGATTATTCCACTGCTAGCTGTTCGATCGAAATTTCTTTTTGCACATCGTTTAATTAAGGTCAATGATATGTTGGTAATTGTTTCTTTGGTTTAGAAAAAAAAATTATTTGTTATGATGATTGGAGAATTCGTTTCAGTACCTGCTAGAAGATGGGCGTAAAAATATTATAGGATTATCTATGAAAAAGTGATGATAATCTTGAAAACTCTGGAAAATAAGGGTTGACGGTACAATCGTCTTAAAGCTTTCCTTTAATCATGTGATACCAGCCAAACAAATTTTCGATCGAAAGAACTAGAATAATCTAAGCTGGTCACGTTTCGTAGTCCACCCTGTTTTGCTGTTGTTTTCATTTTTTTCGCGTAAAAGCAAATGTACCGTTTGCAATTTTATAAGGAATACGAAACGCAACGTCTCGCGCACGGGATGAAAGATAAAGCCAGACGCTTGTTTATTTGCTAAACAGAAGTTCTTTCACTCTCGCCGATGTCCTTCGAGGACATCCACTACAGATAGATCGAATGCCTCCGACGATTGTGCACGCGCGAGATCCGTGTGAACGCACTCTGTCCGTGGAAAAATTAAATATGGCTTCGGTCGAGTCAACCTGCGCCCGCGAGCTAATACAATTCAATTTTCGATCTGTCCCGCGTCACTACTGGCCATCGTTTGTCAGGTTCTTAAAGAAAATCACGTTCACTCGAATTGAATTAGCCAGTTCGAGCATCTTACATGACAGAAGCCTTTTCACAGTCATGAATAAAAGTCGTTATGTAAGGTCGAAGAGGATTTAATGATTATTTCTCTTCTTTCGATCGCTTCGACGAATTACCTAACCGGATCGTAATACGCGGTCATCCTTAACGTGTCAAGAATTCTTAAAATATCGTCAAAAAACTAGTGACATCTATAAGCACGTTAATTTTTGTGCTATAATTGTAATATAAAAGTTCTTATTTAACCCTTCTGTATGCAACCAAAATATTCACGGTTATTGAGCAATCGGAATACTCCTACTCTGACAGATTAGATAAACATAGATGATTTTACTTTCATACCTTTCCGAACTCTTAGTTTTCCCTTCCTATAATATACCAAGTGCTGTTTTAGACAAGACCATACATCGTTGTGAAAGAAAATTTAGAAATGGTCACCTGGGTATCCGAGTACCTGGTTGCCTACACAAGGGTTAAAATAAGGAACGTCATAAACAATAATTCGTCCATGCAACGTTTGAAAACTTTGGACGGGGGGAGAGAATGATACGGAAACTGAATGGAAGTTAAATACATACATATGATGTAGTTTACTCTTACTCACGAGGCGAATCCAGATTGTAATATCGGTCTTTGATCCTAGACATACGAAGTCACGACGACGTTACGAGGAAAAAGATTTAAAACTACCATAATATACGCATGCATGCGGAAATGATCGCGAGTTGACATGACATGGCTGACTTGCCGCCAGCTGACAGATAAGCGAATCCGAGATTTTCCGATGCGTGCCGATATTTCTCGTAACCTAAAACACCCACGGTAACGCGGCTGGTTTCATTGCGTGGTATGCATCGTGCGTAACGCGACTACGATATATATATATATCTTCGTCTATGTTACAAGCACCGTTTACATTATTGGATTGATGGGAAAGCAATGTCGTTTGTCTATGATGTAATGATCGTACATTCAGCATAGAAACCGTATTAAGTTGATATGCATAAACGACTTAAAAGAGTCATATATTCTTACGATCAATTGTAAATATGCAGTACACATTGGCACAGATTTTTAACAATAATTTTCTTCGCAGCACAACCATCGAACGATAACGATACTGATCATTCAAATTGGGAAACACCACATAAAACTTTATAACTCTACCTATGTTATAAATTTGATCATTGTATTCAGTGCAGACAGGGTGTAGATACATCGCACAAGTAGTCGTTTCTATACACTTTTTAATGTCTTTACTGCATGTACTTTAATGTACGTGTTCAGATGAAAGTTAAGTGTTTTATAAACATACAGCTTGTCATTGGTAAAGCTGGTTGTTGCTCTTATTAGTAGTATTAAAAGTGACGTTACTTCTCCACTAACCTAGCCTACCAAAGATGTGCGAATATCACCATGTTTCGTTCAGTCCGCGACTAGGCGAATAGTAAACAAAGAGAGACAACCTTCGATCGAGCGAAACGTCGCTGCCTCGAATTGATCGAATGTTTAGCGACTTATAAAGGGACGAATATCATAGCAATTCCATGTTTCCACTTTTAACTTGTTGACTCATATTTCGAGCGAATATACAGTGTGGACCCACGTACCTCCTCCATTCTCCTCTGCCTTTTTTGTCCGGGCGCAAAAGACTCTAGAAATTCGATTAACGTACAAGTAGAGTTCCAGCGAGGAAGCCGGTGCGAGAATTTCGAATGTTGTGTGTTCGTAACAAGTTGGAAAATCGTAGAACGCAATGGGTACTAGTGGAGAAAGATAGAGACAAAGTGGCAGAGAGGAAACGGAGAGACAGAGGGAGAAAGAACCGTCGTGTGAGCCTTTTGTGTATAGGAGCGTGTTTTAATACTTACGTGTATATGCGTGTGCGCGAAGGGCCGCTCTTGCATGCACCACCAATCAAACGTCGAGTCACTGCACTTTGTCGCCTCTTACTTTTTACAGATCACATTAGCACGCGAGGTTTACGGGCACGATTGCTATTCGATTTTGCACCACGTTACCGCCGAATTTTATCACTGTTCACATTCTATCGGACGAACGTCGCGCGACTACTCGTTGCCCACCCACCATTGGCATCTCGTGTTCGCTTCGACTGGTACCCCTTCGTCTACGCGTCAAACGCTGTACCGCAACTGAACGCCGAGTGCAGTCGAGTGAAATTTCCGACCACAGGAGGTACTGGAAAATCCTCTTACGCTCGTCCTGCGTGATACACCACTGGGACCGCCAGGTGACGCCACATTTTCGCATGAGCACTGTCATCTTACGGTTGCCGCAGATATCAGATCTGGACGAAATTTATTTGATAAAATAATTTTGTCAAGATATATTTTTAACCCTTCGTGAATTTAGAATTTTATTATCGCAACGTATTATAAATATTCATTACATTTTATTATTCTGCTTAAAATCTGTAAACAGTACGGAATGCAACGTATTTTATAAAGAAAGTTTATTTTTAAATCTTGTCGATATAAAAGTTAATATCTTTTAATACCAATGGCACTTTACGAAATAACAGTACTGCTTCAAGGAGCAATTAGTAGTTAATCTTATTACAACCCGACAACTTGGAATATAAAGAACAAATTTTAGTTCATCCAATTTTTATTAATTCATACAATTTACGAAATGTAACTTATGTAATACTGCTATTGAAAATTAATATATTCGACTAATGTCGAATGGAAGACAAGAGATGAATAATTTAATTTATTTGTGGATAGAAAAATTCTTCTAATAAAGAAAAAAAAATATATAATCATTCATTAAGAGATTAAGTAAACATGATTTGTATAAAATTATACGTTAATGATGTATTTATTTATACAATCCTTCATAATGTTTACGATTGTTGACAAGCAAGAAATGGATCTCAACGACTTCTGAAACAGTCAGTGCAGTCAGTACGATAACAGGCTGAGAAACACTGATGCATTTAACAGAATTACATAGATCTGTCAACACGACGTGATAAGTGTTATTCGAATTTTGTGTTTAAAGTGTTTAATTTGTAGTGAAAATGCCGAAAGTGGTCTCGAGGAGCATAATATGTTCCGACACTAAGGATCAAGAAGAATACAGCGAAGAAAAGCCGCTACATATTTATTATTGTTTATGTGGACAAATGACGTTGATTTTAGGTTAAATTCAGTTTAATTATCGTTTACATTGCTACTTTATTCTTATAAAAACCGTAATTACAGATACAGTAAGAAACTCTAATTATTAATTTTTGTATAGATTGTGCGATAGAAAAATTACCTCTGAGAAAGAGAGACGGTGCACGAGTTATTGATGGAAGTAAACATGCTCATAAAATGACCTGCGAGCAAGACGAAGTCGTGTATTTGAAACGTTCTGAAGGCATAGAAAAACAATATCGTCAAAAATGTAAAAAGTGAGAAATGTTTCCATGTATTTGTGTAATTTATCTCAAAAGAATTTTGTATTTTTTCTATATACATTTAATAAAAATCTTTTAAATTATAAGTAGATTTCACATTGTATGTATTTATAACATACAATATAGGATTCATATAAATATTTACAAATTATAATAAGAAAGATTATCTATAAATTGTATGTATGCATTTACAGGTGTGGACTTTTTCTCTATTATAAGCATGATCAAGGAACAAATATTGTATTTATTGTGAAAGGTGCTGTAATTAAAAGTTCTGGTGAAGGTCCTATGACAGACATATACAATCAAGTAGCTATTGAAAAACCAAAGAAAATAATGGTTACAAAGCATACAAAAAATATGGGAAAATTCAGTTCCGTTACTGTGTCTACCATTGATGAGGAAGAAGATGAAATTGAAGCTGTAAGTAAAGTGTTTGTAATATATGTATGTATTTTCTGTATTTGTATATTGTGTATAATATGTTTAATCTTTCCAGAGAGAAGTCGCTGATTCATATGCAAATAATGCGCGAATAATAGAAAAACAATTAGAGAGGAAAGGAATGAACAAACGAAAGGCCATGCCTCCTCCTGAAGCAGATCCAAAGAGAACACGACCTCGGGGCACGCTATTGGATGTATAATATTTAGTTGCATATTATTACATATTTAAAATAACTAAAAATGTATATAAAGCAGAGACAGAATAAGAAATTACATAAATTTTTTTTATAAATTTCAACTTAATTTTTTCCCACGTGCATAAATTATTTGGAGAGTAAAGACTTGACGAATCACACCATTTTTAACATTATATCGAATTATTTATTAACATTACATAAAAGTAAATATTTAAAATATATAAATGACTAGATACAAATATTGCATAAAAATGTACATTGCAAAATATAGATATAAATGTAATAATAAATAAATACAATAACTACATACAATTCATTAATCAGGATCACTGGAGGGTAAACGGAGTTCTACTTACAATCAGAATTAGTAAGATGGCAACATTAAATGGTAAGACAAGGACGTACTTCACATACATATACTGCCACTGGTTAAATTAGTAAATAATTCTACCAAACAATTTTGGGTGATATGGCTTTTTAATGTGGAAGAAAAAAAGATCTATCTACATATCATCTAACTGGCCACGTTAGAGATCTACAATCTATAAATATGCGTTGTGTAATACTAATGACATATTAATGCGCACATTGGTTGAAAATTGAGTGAGACATTAAGTTAGCTGTATTTATGACCAAAAGTGATGTCTTCATCGATACCCTAGTTGTGCAGTATAATAAACTGAATGCGACCGATATCCAAGATGCAGCTAAAACACGTACTCCTACTCTCTCCGTCAGAGACCAGATAATTGAAAAATGATTTAACCCGAAATTGGTATATCCCTAGTGCCATATTTCATTTATAGATACTTTTAACATTACAACAAAATCATAGCACATTTTCTATATACCTAATAAATGCATTTCAAATGTACTCCCTTTGACGATTATGTCAACTGCAACCTTGCATTAAATTAAAATTATATAGAATTCTATCTTTACACATAGTACGATTTCGCAATTGGAATTATCACGTTTGCGATTACAGATGCCAGTTTTTATATATAATCCGTAAATCTAATGGTGCAATGTACGTATAAAAACGTACACGGCGACCTGTCTATAAATTTAAGTATTGATTTGAGAAGATTTAATATCAGCTTTCTTAAGTATTGTTGGCTCGTCTTTTAGAAAGGTTCCCGATCTAGAGCCGACCGTTGGTTGCTTCGCAACTTCCCCATTATGGCACTTACTTTTCACCCTCTCATCGTTTAGGGCCTTACTTGTTGTCCTCTTAGTTGCGATCGCAGATTTACTTATCTTATTAGTGCCAGATGATTTCGGGGAAGATCTTTTACTAGGGCTTTCAGAACCCTGCTGATTCGGCAATACTTCTTTCTTTTCTTTTTTTAGGTTCGGATGATTGATTACAGACTGTGCAACTGTCCGCGTATTCGTGGGTTTGTACGACGTGTTATTCAATGACTTACTTGGAACATCCGGTGTCTTTGCGGCGTCGAGAAGATTTCTTCGCAAACTAGGGGAACCGTGATACGCGGTTATAGCTGCCACCCTGCTTCTGCTAGCTGCAGTTGAACTCTCTAGAGATCTAAGTGGCCTTCTTGCTGCTGTGAGCGGGCTTCTTTGATGCACCGGTGGTGAACTCTTCTTCATTTTCTCATAAGCTTGCGTTTTATTAATTGTTTTCCCTAAAGTCGGTGATAGTTTGTTTGATACGTTTGATTTTGGCGTTGCTGTGATCTCAGTCATAAGACTATCCGTAGACATCGAGGTATCCATTTTACTGGTCTTCTTTTTTGCAACCACGGATTTATTCTTCGATTCTGCCAACGAATCCACGGACAAACCTATTTCTGCGTTCTTCTGTTTAAAAGATGGCGATTCCGGGCGCGTAATACCACAACTTTTACTGATCGAATCCTTTTTATTATTTGGTCTACTTGCATTAGCGTCGGTTAAACTGTCCGAAGAGAGAGCTTTCACGTCTTTCTTTATTGGTAATTGTATCTTTGCCAGTGGCTTTTTATCAGTAGCGCGTTTCATTGCGGGGCTAGACGTACGAGATGAATCCGAAGACGAAATCATTATCTTTCGACGTTGATGTACCATTACCTTTTCCGGATGCGGTGGTTGCACAGTTTCTTTAGGGACAGATTTATTTCTGGGTTCCAAATACCGCGATTTCACCTGAAAGTCATAATGTGAAAAATATCAAATAGAAATATAATTTATCCAGACTCGACCTGATTTCCTGAATATGACGTTATACTCAAACTAGAATTACCTCTATTTTATTGGGCCACGATTTTGGTCTACTTGTTTCGATGGTAGCTGGTTTATCCTCTTGCATTTTACGTTCCAATGGATCGCTTTTTGGTTTATTAAATACTTTCTTTGTTTGTTGCACAGCTGTTATTTGCTTTAAGGTTTTATCATTATGTTCAGATATCACCATTTTTACACGCTTCAAATCCAAATTGCGATTTACTGTTGATGGACTCGATGCCGGTTTAGGTTCCTGCAAGAATAAAATGTTTAAGGTATACACTAATGTTTGCAACAAAAAATAATCTGTAAGTAATACATAAAGTCACTTACTTTGACAAAGTTAGAATGCCTTGATTGACGTTTCGCAGTTTCATGAGGTAGAATAACAAGGCAAGCTAACTCCTGTATTCTACGCCGAAGTTCCAAATCCATTTTTAACCATGTAGTAGTTCTTGCCGCTCGTGCTGCGTCTTTAACCAAGCACTTCTCCACTCGGCTTTGAATTTTCTTCAAGAAATCAACAAACAAGGGTCCCCACTTGATTTTATCCTGCGCCTCATCCAGTTGCACCGAAGTTAACATTTTATGTAACTTCGAATAACTTCTACACGCTTGTTCGGGAGGCAAGTGTTCCGCGGCAGCTAAGAAATTATCCTCTAAACGACTGATATTCCATGTCAACTCCCGGCCAAGAGACTGAAAGTTTTCATTTCCCAGTACCCCTGAGAAATTGTCCGATAAAAACTTTACCGACGTTTCCAACAAATTTGAGACCATCCGGAACACTGGTTCTGTCCAACGGACATTTGGCAGCGTTGCGAGAAGTTTATCACAATCCATCATAGTTTGAAGTACATTGTCCGTAGACTAACATTTTTTGTTACAAAAAGAACATAATTATTACAACGTTAAACAATTATTGAATAATGTATAAAACATTGTATACCATGTGCACAATGTGTTGATGGTAACACTTTTCCATGAGTTCTCTCGGAAGTGTTGCAAACGCCTTACATGGCCATATTCGTACAAAATGTCTGGTGACCCATCGAAGAGACTTTCGATACACTTCATCCAGACCGTAAGCTGCTGCCAATGGCATGCATTCTAATACACCAACAGCGCATATTTGACAAGGCTGTAACGCAACAATGGTGAATAATTATCATGTTTATTAAAAAAAAGCGTCTATTGTAATTTATTATACAATAAAAGAATGTGGATACCTTATGAAACAGATGACAATATTTAACTTTAAGCGTGTATCCTATAACTTCTTTTAGACCCTCTAAGCATAGCATATCAGCTAAAGTTGCTAATTCAACTATACTTATAGAATCTGGTATGTTACTTTCTCCACTATAAATATGACATAATGCAAAGTGCACTGCATCGTACGAGTATCCCTGCAAGGAAATAACATTTCCCGCACTTTCAATCCATCCTCCGCTAAGAATCGCTGCAAAATACTGACAGCGAGAACTCAATATACATTTGTGAGCTCTTATGCGACGACCAGCTACATCGATGGTAACATCTGGATTGATTTCTTCTAAGAACATTCTTAGTAAATCTTCCCCTAATCTGTTGTATGGTCTGCCTCCTGCTAAACTCGATGTTTCGGTTTCCTCTGTACTCCCCTCTGCAAAGAAAACAATTAAGTAATATAATTTTAAAGTGCAATTATTCATCAGACAACAGAGACTACATACCAGCCCCAGAACGTCCCATGCTACTCTGCATACTGCTCAGATCAGATTCTGATACAATGCCTTCGCCATCGTACTCTCCTGTTAAGTCCTCAAGAGGAGACTTTTGTTTGGACGGTAAAGAGGTGCTCATGATCGATGTGAACTTTCTGGGAACCGGCCTAACCGATCCGTTTGTTCTGGACATAACCAATTTACTTTCAATCCAGGAAGTCTCTGGAATACTATTACACATCCGGTACGCAGCTCTGTCTTCCTTCACAGTTACAATATCCGACGTATGAGAGACAATGGGCGTCTTATCCAGATCCGATAATCGAACAAAGTTGGATGTCGTTGCTTTCAGATTAAGCCCTATCGTCCTTTCGCTTTTCTTCGACATTGTGTTATGGCTATCGTATGTTGGCTTCCCATAATCCGGATCCTTGAATTCACTTTCGATTTTCTTGATTGTCTCGTTTAAAGATTTATGCGTTTCAGATATTTTATTAGCAACAGCGGGAACTGCTTGCGTTCGATCTATGTTTGGCACTTCACCGTTCAACAATTCGGACAATTCGTAATCATGATTATCGCTGTCGGGCGATGGTCCGCTACCACTACTAATGTCAAACGTCTCGCTCTTACGGGTTTGTCCCTCGGTGCTCTCCGTGCACGTTTTCTCCCACGCAGACGTCTCTGAATATTCATCTTCGTACGCTTTAACATCCGTAGTGTTCAGGTTCTCCGTATTTCGCTCGGCTTTTAATTCCGTGTACTCGTGTTCTTTTATACTCACACGAAGTTCTTCGTTGATTACTTCAACATGAGAATTCGGAGGAGTGTCCCTTGTGTCATATTCGAACGCATCTTCTGAAGATGTATCCATATTACTCAGGGCGCCGTTTCCATCTTGATGGAGTTTGAAATTTCGTTGGCCGGAGCATTCCGGCTTTGTCGCATCGCTCAAAGAATGACTCGAAGCACTAGGCTTTGCTTGTAGATTCTTCAAGTCCCCCCGATCCACAGAAAGGCTATGCGCCCGTTTGTGCTCCTTTCGGAACATAATTTCTTTCGCGATATGCCCGTTATTGTTAACATTTTGTGTCTTATCGACGTTCCAGGAATGTCTTTTGAATGCTGGTCGTGACGTCGATAAAGTTCTTCTTCTAACCACTGGCGAATCGGACTCTATGTACATAAACACGCTCGGTTTAGCTTTTTCCCTAAGAGACTTTTGATCAATCAACGGTTGGTCCTCCTTAGTTGTACTATTTTCGCTGGAATTATTATCCTCCGACTTAATTTCCACGCGTTTATCACAAAATGTAGAAAAGCTCCTTCTGTGTGCTGTCTGTACAATAGTTTCCGGTTTTTTCGGTGGATCACTTAAATCGATAAACATAGAGAATATATTTTTTTTATCGTTTGCTTCATTGGACTTCTCCGGTTTATTAGCCGACTCTTCCGTTTCGAACTTTTTCATTTTTGTCGTACAATTCGTATTGGATATGTCAACGTAAAATTCGCAGTAAGATTTACCACTTTCGTTCTGTTCTTTTCTTTCTATCGCGCAACTTTGTTGCGGCACAATAGGCTTACGATCCATATCTTTCAAGTTAACAAAGAAACCTAAACTACCGTGTTTGTCGTGGTTACTTGTTTTTCTGATTGGTTTCTTAATACATTCGGAAGTCGAAAAACTTTGGGACATGCCTACATTGGAATTACTCGTTGGCTTAGAGTCATTTTTACTGCAATCACTCATATCGACTACCCATGCAGTCATGGAAGACGCCATTCTGACAGGTTTCATTCTCGATTCAGGCTCGTTCATGATAACAGAACCCCCTGAAACAATTGGCGTGGACTCTGTTTTCCGACGCACAGTAGGACTATCAGTAGGCTTCGAATAGTCCGAAGTGCTAACCCCACCCGAAATAATAGGCGTGTTCTCGTCACACTTAACCTTCTTTAAAGTGTCTGTTTTAGTGTCCTTTTCTAAAATACAATTTAATGTGACGGGCAAACTGTTGCTACAACTGCTCGTCCCATCGTCCAAATCTGTATAATCGATTATCATTTTGTCACTAGCGCTTTTTGTTACAGGATACATTATACTAGAATTACTGTCATTTTGCAAAGAATTACTAGCCTCTGGCGGTGTCTGATTAATCTCATACTTCCCATTATCTAATGGCAGATATGGCATTGCATGGTACTGAGTAGTAGACGGTATTTGAACATCTATGGTAAACTTGTTTAGTACATTGTTCATGGGAATCGCAGGTTCGTCTGACGGATTGAAGCACGAATCTCCGTCGACACGATGTCCTGAATACTGAGGTATTGCATTTTGGAATACCAAAGTACCTTGGCGTCGTTCATACTCTTGTCTCAGCACTGATAACTTTTCATCGTTAGAATCCAACTCGAACGTGTTTCTCCTAATCAGAGAAGGTCGTCGAGTGTCTTCCGTTAAATTAATATCTTTGTCATTCGTTTGCTCAGTTATTTCGTTTTTACTATCTACTAAGTGAACAGGGATGTCATTGTCGTTATCCGTTCGTGACACGACATGTCGTTCGTTATTCATATTTTTATTATTGTCGGGATAAGGAGAAGGATGCGCGCTCTCACCACTGTCTGCTTCCTTAATTTCTACAACTAAAGACTCTTTGTTCATTTCAGCGCTTATAGTTATTTTATCTTCGGATGTGGAATCAGTCCGCCTTATTTTTCTTGTGTCTGTAAGCGGTTCCAGATACTCGGTAAGCTTTAATTCCCGTTCGAATTCTGCTACCCTTTCATGTCCAGTTTGTAAATTACTTGTTTTAACAGATGTGAATTTGTAAAATTGCTCGTCCGCGAAATCATTCGATTTACTTGTGACATATTCAGTGGGATAGGAAGAATATAATTGTGGCTTTTTATCAGAGCACTGATTTTTAGTTACATTCGAGGATGGTACTACAACTTCATCATTCAGGGTCGATGCATCAATGAAGTAATAATTGCTTGCATTACAGGAACTGTTTTGTTGCGGTAAATCACGGGATACTTCAAGTCTTGCATTTTCCGACTCTGCATTTTCAACGCGAAAATAATTGGAATCACACGTCTTTTCGTCCTGCGACTTTTCTGTAGATTCTCCTTTAGCCGATTCCTTCTCCACGTCAGTACTTACAGACGACGCATTACCAAGGTCAACAAATTCGAACGACCCATTTTCATCACTGCCACAGTCCGATTCATAAAATGGATCACTAAGTACGTGATTTTCATATTGAAAAATTTCATCTCTCTGCAATTTCGCTTTTTGGGCATTTTCCGTGGACGAACTAGATGAATCTAGTTGCGGTTGCTCCGCATCAACAGAAGAACACGTTGCGCTGTGTTCGTTTGAAGTACATTCCATCAAACCTGATTCTACCAACTCCTTTATATGGCATCTATTGGTACAATTGTTGGCTGAATCATAACGTTCTGATTCCACAATTACTTTCTGATCTCTATTAACATATCTTACACGTGTCTTATCAATATCCTCATTCGCAGATGCATACTCAGTAACTTGTAATTCCTCAAAATCAGTACTCGAATTCTCAGACGTTGTGTTTTCATGTGGACTTACAGAACCAGTTTCTAAACCAGAATCAGCCATATCGGATAAAGTAGGACTCACATCCACTGCAGCATACTCTCTTACATTTCTTGGTGTTGTAATGTTTGTTGTTGAATCACAATCTGTTGTTGTGCGATTCGCATATCTTTGAGATAAAGACAAATATTTATGAATATAACATACAAGTAAATAGAAAGAGAATTAACATAGAAATATTATAGAATAAATGATAAAATACAAGTAGAAATTGTAACCTTTTATTGATGTCGGAAATAGTATTAACGCAGGATGCATTCACAAATTTTGATGTGTAAGTAACATTCAATATAAATTGTACCAACAGTTGTTCCTCTCGTGACAAATTTGAATTACTATACAAAAGCCTGAAAATATATGAAGTATTAGAATACATTTCAGAAGAAATAAAAACAAAGAAAAGTATATCTAAGGTATACAGTTTTCTATCATGTGCATTCTATGGTGTTTGTAATAAGGATGAAAAACGAAATAATGTAACATGCTAATTGCTATAATTTGTACTTTTATTCGAGTCATATATAGTTACATACAGGTAACTGTGAAAACACCAAAAAAATGTTATGTGCACAAAAATAATAAAAAAATAGTAGACTAAATAAAAATAATCTGTTTTTGTTCTATCGGTAAGGACATGTGATTGACCATCTTCTAAACAATTGTTGAGGAAGAACAGTTTCTACATTGTCTACATCAACTATTGATTTACATATGTACAACAAAATTACATATAAATTTTAGAAATAAGTGAATACATTTTTAATAGGGTCGAAAAATACATAATATTCAGTTAAAAATTCATACAAAATGCATGCAGAAAAATATTTTTTTAATTCGAACAAAAGGAATACATGGAATTTATTAAGTGTTAATTCAGGAATACTTGTATTTATTTTTTGGTGCAGCAGTATTAAAATATTTATTGTTACTAAATTCAATACTTTTCGGAAATTATATACTTTAGACATTACAAATACTCCTGAATTAAGTAAGACTCCATGCAGGTATGACCTGCAGAGTTTAAATAACAAATATACATAGGTTTCATAGATACTGCTTCTAGGTATATGATTAGCGATCTGGCAATACCTCACAAAGCCTTCAATATGATGAAAAATTTCCAGGTTATCAAGGATACAATCAATGTGACTGTTAGTGTATATAAAATAAGGTTTGAGAACCTTATAAAAATGTGGAGCTCTTGTTTTAATAATACACTGGTTTGTTCGTATTATATTATATCCATGTATTATGTTAATATCACAATACAAGGAGCCCGTAAATATTCTACAATAAAACACTCCATTCAGTTTATGCATTTAAGAATCTATATTTTTTACACATAAATGGCTTTATATATACACTCTTATCAATTACAATTTAATAATAATCATAAAGACAAACCATAAGTGGATGCAACAATTATTACATAATAAAAGAAAACAATGGAATTTTAACATCTTTTTACAGTTTCACAAATCAGGTGTCTCAAATGTCTTATAATTTTGTACAATATATACCAATCATTTCAATACTCAATATAGTACATATTTATAATACAAATCATGTTACATGACTATCATCGATTCACTGGCACAGTAGGCACATGCATGAATGTGTAATACTAATATTTTTCTGGTTGTCAACAGCTTATTTTTCATTGATAATGAATTATCTCATACAATATGTAAGATAATTAATTACCAAGAAAGCATTCTTTGGTTCCAGCTGTCTTTTAATTAAATTGCTTCTAGAACTTTACAATTAATGATATGTAATATTCCTTTAGTACATATAATATGAAACCACTACTTTACCTTAAAATATTATTTTGTAGATCACTAAGACTTTTCGCAACGATACGGTTCTTCTCTGCAAGTTGATACTTTTTAAATATTTCACTCGAAGGAAGTTCAGGCCTGACAGAAGCATAAAGCTGATGGTAACAGAGCCATTGATGTGTTCTGTCTAAATTTCCACTTCGCTTGTTGTTGCTCCTGCCTCCAGCCATGAGGCATGTTTAATGTTTCATACTTGTCCACCTTCAATGTATAATAAAAATAAGAATAAAAATAAATAAAAAGACAAACATTACACAAAATATATACTAAATTATTATATAAAACTATAATGATTAACATTTTATCCTTTCATGGAAAAATTTGTATGGAAAATGTTATCTTCATACATGAGATTCATAATAGTCAATCTGATCAATTATACAGAATAAATGATAAAAAATATCAGTAACATTATGAGATATTGTTATTTTAAATTTGGCCTGGAATTCACAAAGAAACAAGTGTTAGATAGTGAATCATTTGTAAAAATGAAATATTAAAAATATTAAAACTGGCTCATATAAATATTTTATTAATTAACTATTCCACTTTCTTTATGATCATATAAACTAATTTATTGATTGTTTGGAATTAACAAAACTGTAATATTCAAAGTAAAAAGATGTAAAAAATAAAATGTCAATGAGACTCCTTGGTATATGCATTGCTGACAAAGTACATAACAATTTCAAGGTCAACCTAGTAGACACTTCTTGCATGGCAATTATAATTCCTTTTAGGGTATCTTTAATATTCAAACAATAGTTACTCATTCCAATCTCTTTGAGAATTGCTGCAAGATGTAAAATGTTGTATATTTTAATGAAAAATATTACACAATGTTATTCCGAAAAGGTACCTTTAAAAAGATAGTAAGTATTTAAAGAAAGCATGTAAGCATGCAACTATTTATAATTATGTTTAACCTTAAATTCGAAGTGCAATTATATACATATGGATTTATGAATGAAATGTCAATGATGATTCGACATGAAAGTTCGAAACATTGAACGAAAGTGAGATACAGAAGCCAAAAATAAACGTGTGCAATTCTAGCGCAATTGAAAGTAGGAATTCTTGAATCGAGGTGGAAGATACTACGGTGAAGTAAACGATGCCGATCAATCGATCAGTTAATGGCATTTTCTTTCATTATAAACTGAGTAAGATGCAATGCGTACTAGCAATGTGTCAAGTTTCTTTTGACATTTGAAAAGCACCAATGGAACACACCTTGTTAACTGTCATTCAGCGTATCTTTTCTATCGTATCCAGAGTACGTGATCGGTTTGGTATATTTTAACATACACGAGTTAGTATGTTCTGACAGAGTGAATCTATTTTAAGGGAACTCTAAAGAGATGAAAATATGTTTGTCTATATTGTCGAGATACTGGAACACCTTCGCAAATATATTTTCGACAAGACTTTCTCAATAATTTATTGATCGTAGTTGGTACATATACGTACATACGTACCTCGCATTATTTCGGTTCTGAACACCGGTCCGGTTATAACATAATTATGCGTTATTACAAGCCGGAATCCTGTACCGCATTTTATTCAACGCGTCCGGTAGGAAATTCACTAAATATGAACAATATGATACTATCAAACGTTCGTTTGTTTGTTGTTCGAAAGACATAAATATGCGACGACTGTTCCCGATACGAAAGCGTGAGATTGTCTGCCGTAGGCACCGCTAGGTGATGCGCAGATCGTGATCAATTTTTTATTTTGAGGTTATATGCAAGAATGTTCTGTCAAACTTGGTCAAACTCTTCTTTGGATCGTTATGGGTGATTATGGGTAGGGTTGAATCGATACCACCAAGGTATCGATTTTTTACTCATAACTATTATACTATTGTATGAAGGTTCGATACTCGGTATCGAAACAGAAGTATCGATACCTATTTGCATCAAAATATGTTTTCCTAACCTTGATACCCAACACAAAAGTTGTTTCTGCGTTGAGGGAGAATAAAATACAATACTATACTTTATAAATTTATTTAAATATTTAATATAAAATATAAAACATATAAACATACACGAGGTCTCCTATGCATTCTGGGGGTTCTATGACCCCAATTTCCCACACACACGGGATCTCTTGCGCATGCTCCGGGGGTTTTATGACCCCACTTTTCCACAGACAGCATATATAATAGACTGCGCGCTTTACTATATATGCTATGACTAGTTGGCCCCGCGCTGCTTCACTGTCCCTGTGTGACGTCACGGCGTGCGAGCGAGAGCGGTAGTGCGAGCCGCGGTATCAGTGCTATCTGTCACACTAATCAGTGCTATTTGTCGACACGTACCGAACGATGCCGAAGATGGTCGGAGCGGGCGAACGGGAGAGAGCGAGCCGCAGTATCGGTGCTCTCCGTCGGTCCAAGTTGGACCGACTACCGATACAATTATTTTTTTTTGACCGGTGGCGCCACCCGTGGCAATTCGCTCAAACTGCTAGCCAATTATATGGCTAGCAGTTTCAGTGATTCGCCACGGATGGCGCCACCGGTCAAATAAATAGTGGTACTCCGCGATTAAAATGCGATTTTAACAGTGTTCTGGTCGTTTATTGTTATTATCAATTACAGTGGATTAATCTACGTTCTTTCAGCTACAATTCGAGTGCTTTATCTAGACGAAAGCTATCCGTATAACGGTGTAACAGCTGTTTAAAGTGAACTAACCGGGGTACGCATGACGCGATACAGTGTAAACCGTTGCAAACAATTGTGATTTTAACCATGTTCCTATAATTACTGGTTCCCAGCTGCTAGAGAGTACTAATCTGCGTTCTTTAAACTTCGAATGTAATCCATGCCGAGGAAAACTGATGCTCGTTTAGCAATGTAAATCCGATCGAAAGCTGTTGCAATTACATAACCACTAAACAGGCAACATTTTTCTTCGTCATGCATTACATTCGAAGTTTAAAGAACGTAGATTATTACCCTATCACGGCTGATTCGTCTTGACCAAGCACTCAAGTTGTAGCTGAAAGAACGTAGATTAATCTCCTGTCAGTGGCAATAACAATAAACGACCAGAACACTGTTAAAATCGCAATTTATTTGCAACGGTTGACACTGTATCTCGTCATGCGTACCCCGGTTAGCTCACTTTGGTCAGCTCGTACACCGTTATACGGACAGCTATCGTTTAGCTGAAGCACTCAATTTGTAGCTGAAAGTACGTAGATTTAAATAGTGGTACTCCGCGATTAAAATGCGATTTTAACAGTGTTCTGGTCGTTTATTGTTATTATCAATTACAGTGGATTAATCTACGTTCTTTCAGCTTCAAACTGAATGCTTGATCAAGAAGTAAATTGTCCATAGAACGTTGGAAGAGTTGTTCAAAGTGAACTAAACAGTGTACGCATGATGGGATACCGTGTGAGCCGTTGTAAATAAATGTGATTTTAACAATGTTTTTGTAATTACTGGTTCTCAGCCGTTAGAGAGTATTATTCTACATTGTTCAAACTTCTAATGTAATGCGTGACGAGGAAAAATGATGCCCGTTCAGCGGTGTAAATGTAATCGAAATCTGTGCAAGTAGGGTTGCCGCCTCATAAGTGGCTATCGTAATACAGACATACCTAATTTTACTAATTCAGGGGTTCTGCACTATTGGGTCCAAGCATTAAGTTTTGAGGAACAATTTGAGAGTAATGATGTTCATTTTGAGTACTTAATTACTGAGATATTCGAATTTTTACATCACTAGGAATTTTCACTCACCGATCGGTGTGATTTGGCTAGTAGTTTGAGCGAATTGCCACGGGTGGCGTCACCAGTCGTTGGGTAGGTATCCGTGGCGGTGGTTCTACTCAGTATTCAGTTTTACTTATACTATACTCAGTTATACTTGGTTATATTGTGACCACTGAATATTGTTGCTTGTACGTCATGGTATTAAATGAGCAACAACATTTATGTTTACCCAATGAACGGCAAATATGAACACGAAGGAAAAAGAGAAGTACATCGAGGAATTCGATTTTCCCCACTGTGATGAATCCTCGAAATATGAGAAGGTCGCGAAAATCGGCCAGGGCACCTTCGGGTGAGTTCAACGTTGAATTCTGATCCGTCGTTAGGTTATGTTCGAACGAGAATGAAATGATTTCTACCGTTTCTTAATAATTATGATCGCCTCACAGGGAGGTGTTCAAAGCTAGAGATAAAAATTGCACTAAAAAATTCGTGGCTATGAAGAAAGTATTAATGGACAATGAAAAGGAAGGGGTATGTACGCATTTAAATATTTGATAGTTCAAAACATTTCTCACCATCCTTTTATTCACATCGTCCGACCATGTAAATTTTGAATTCGTTTGTGTAAAGATCAGCCACTTTTCTATATTTTTATCTTTTGTGTACAATTTTATATGTGCAAAGGTAATGCATGTTTATTGTAAGAAACTATCGTGAAATAATGTGTATTGTCCATTCATTGTCTCATAAACATAAAGATACAATACAATATTAATTGCATTTTGTTTACAGTTTCCTATAACTGCTTTAAGAGAAATAAGGATATTACAATTGCTAAAACATGAAAATGTAGTGAATCTGATAGAAATATGTAGAACAAGAGGTATACATTTTCATGAATTTATGTATTGATTATAATTTGGAGCATTGCTCTCTTACATAAAACAGATTATAATCAACATTGTGCATTTTGTTTTAGCAACACAATATAATCGTTATCGTTCTACATTCTATCTTGTGTTCGACTTCTGTGAACATGATTTAGCTGGTTTATTGTCCAATGTCAATGTCAAATTTAGTTTAGGGGAAATAAAGAAAGTTATGCAACAGTTGTTAAATGGTCTCTATTATATTCATAGTAATAAGGTAAGAGTCAGTTAATTATGTGTTTAATAAGTAGTATGTGGATTTTATATGTTTATGCCTTATGTGAACAAGTGAACCATTATTTTATATTTTATTTTGAACTAACTGAGCCTTCTAATTGGTATCATAAATTTAAAAATAGTTCATAAAATTGTGAATTCATATAAGCATCCATAGTCTACTAATAAGAAATAATATACTTCGTGTAAATACGATATGCACCCTAATTTATGTATTGTTCTGCAGATTTTACACAGAGATATGAAGGCTGCAAATGTTTTGATAACTAAAAATGGTATATTAAAATTAGCTGACTTTGGGTTAGCTCGTGCATTTAGCGCTAACAAAAATGGCCAACCAAATCGTTACACAAATAGAGTTGTTACACTCTGGTACAGACCGCCGGAACTTTTGCTTGGTGACAGAAATTATGGTCCTCCTGTAGATTTATGGGGTGCAGGATGCATAATGGCTGAAATGTGGACCAGGTCTATACCCATGTTTCTACAAATTGATTATTATTAAATACAGAATTGTAAACATTATTCCAATTTAACAGATCACCCATAATGCAAGGAAATACAGAGCAACAACAACTCATATTAATTTCACAATTATGTGGTTCCATAACAACAGAAGTTTGGCCTGGAGTAGAAAATTTAGAGCTATTTAATAAAATGGATTTACCTAAAGGTCAAAAGCGAAAGGTAAATATTATCAAGATACTTATGTAGCCAGTATAAAGAAACATATGTATTTTTGCATAGGTTAAAGACAGATTGAAACCATATCTAAAGGATCCTTATGCGTGTGACTTGTTAGATAAACTATTAATCCTCGATCCGTCTAAAAGATACGATTCGGATTCTGCGTTGAACCACGACTTCTTTTGGACTGATCCGATGCCTTGTGATCTCAGTAAAATGTTGGCACAGCATACGCAGAGTATGTTTGAGTACTTAGCTCCACCAAGACGACCCGGCCATATACGTCACCCGCAACACCAAGTACCTGGAGGGCCAACGAAATCTACTTCTAGTACGGCCGATAGTGGTTACCAAGATCGTGTATTTTAGCACATTCTGTTCGGATGAATGTAGACTGCCCAATAACTGTCCATTTTTTTCATCTCTCATAATTTTAATGAGTTGTGTAATATTCGACTTCAACTACACCCATAATGATCAAGTTTTGTGTTTCATCTGAATGTTTGATTTGTACAAACCATGGAAGCAAAATGTAAGATTTTCTTATACACGTGTACATATGCAGGATGTTCGGCAACAGATGAGAGGAAATTTAAGGGGTAATTCTACATGACAAAATGAGACGAAAATTGAAAGTAACAAAAATGCTGTTGATATTTTTAATTATAAGTATTACAGAATTGGGTAATCTGCCCATCGTAGTTCTGCATAGGGAAGCTCAAGATTGGAGCTTATAGTTAACGCCAATAATCAGCGGGGTTCAAAAACGTAATCTAGAAAAATTTGTGTCATTTTGTAAACTGTCGTAGGAAAAGTCGCGTGTGACGTTAAATCTATGTTTAGTCGGTGGTATCCACAGGGTATAATAACAGAACCCATCGTATGAGATTTTCGAGCATAACAGGTTACTGTTTTTTCCTCCAAATATACTTGTGTACACATATAATTCATATGTACACAAGTGTCCACCGAAAAGTACGCACGTATAAAACGAATTTCCGCTAAAGAATTTGCATTAAATGTTCTCCCACCTGATGTCCAACTCTCTGTGTATATGTATATATACACCCACCCACATACAGATACTCACGTATATATATGTATATATAAATTTTATACAAACAGAAGAGGTCTCCTGATTTCAACCTTGTATTTTTAGAAGTGTTATTTGCTCAGCTTTCTTGTGATCATTGTATTATGAATTCACCAGTTTCTATTTATACATAAATTTTTCTATGAATGAACTATCAGTAATCGTGAAACAAAAAAGACTAAATAATTACTGGAAGTTTATGTGAATATTTAAAATAACATTAATATCTACACTCACCTTGAAAACTTGTTCAACAAGCATGTCCTGTTAAAACAATATTTATTTCAATAAACAAATTTCAATTTCACAACTTTCTTCAAATCGATAGCGTTGATAACTATAAAAGAAATCTTAAATGTGTACAAGCCTAAATTCACTAAGCCTAAATTATAACAAATCTTGAGTAGTACTCATGCAACAAACGTGGTGACAATTTAGCGAGTTCAATAGCAATCAGCGAATTGTACACCGAATTTCGCGTCCGCATTATCGTAGTCATGACAAGCAGTGTCGTGCGTAGCACCGAGATGAAAATTATTAAATATGTACACGATCGTATGCCCGTAATACTTCGTTATTCTTATCCTTACGACTACACTTCGTTATTATGCTAAAATACAGTATCGAATTGATCAATCTGTGAGGTACAGATAAATATGGCCTATATTAAAGTAAATGACGTGACAGCGATATTTATCACCAGATATAAAAAAATACAAATAAAATTCTGTTAACAGTAATTGCCTTTCTTTCGAAAGTTCCATTTGCTCGTGTTGTGATCAGCGTATTAAATGAATGATCACTAAGAAGACATATAGATGAAAGGACGAACACACATTATATCACATAGACTTTTAATCATCGTCGTTTTTAAGAAGCTGATCTAATGGATTAGGACCCATCCTTTTCGGCTTACTCGTCGATGTTTTTTCCGTACTATCGGCTGAAATACGTTTATAAATATCAATTATGTATTTCTACTGATCAACGTGTATTTGAATATGTTTAAAACAAGTGTATATGAAGAAGTATTATTACAGGGTGTAGGGCGTTGAGCGTTTAGACAACTAAGCCATTCCGTCATGCTGATCCTCCTGTCATTGTTGATATCACAGTACCTAGGCAATCTTTTGCCGCATCTTTGAAGCTGTCTATTGCTTGCTACCATTGTACGGAAACTTTTCCACTCTTTTCGTTCCAAAACCTAGACAGAAATTCTACGTATATATCCACAAATAGTATTCATTTAATTTCTATTATATATACTAAATACCATTCACTATAATTTTAAATCTTAATCGCCGAAAACTTGCCTTATTTTTATTCTTATCAAGCATTACAAAGTGCCAAGTCGCTATTTGCTCTTCTTTAGAAGCTTGCCATTTGGTTGTTGTTTCATCTGAATCTGTACCAGAAGCTTTCATCTTCTTTTGCATTAAATCCATTAAATCCCGCAGGAATAGTTGCTTCTTTTGCTCTGGACAACCTGACACCAGAGTTAGATTTTTCAGAATGGCTACACAAGATAAAATGAAGTTATATGATTTAATTACCTTTCATTGGCCTGCTGGGGGTAGGCACTGGATTGCAATTTGGAGTACGATCTTTAGACGATGTTCCAGGGATTGGTTTACCAGTGTCTTGGTACACACACCAGCAATAACCAGAGTAACATTGCACTCGATGATACCTTCCGTCAGGAGTGCATTCAGGTACATAGAATTTCTCTTGAGAATGCTGCCTCTCGTCTTCCAACACGGATCTTCTATCAGTTAAACAATCATTGGCTGCAAACGTTTCATTAGGTTACATTTAAAATGTCTGTTATGTAATATACATCGATCTTTCATTCAGCATAAATGGCGCATTACACGAAATAATTAAATGATCATATATTTAATTGACTTCATTGTGATTTGAAGGTTCAGAACGGGGCCCCTCTGGAATATACATATCCCAGATAGCACACAGACGGCTTAAGACGACTTAATAACAACGTAAAGGCGCTTTAGACCTAAAATAGCCGTAAAATGGACGTGTTTAAGGCGTCATGTACTATCTGGAATTAGACATTTTGCATAATAGAATAACTTCAATTATTCAAGTCACCATTTCACGTACAACAAAAGTATTGTCCTTGTTTACCATTCAAAATATTCAGATAAATTTCTAGACTTGTTCAGAGATTCGATCTTTTAATTATTTCGAGCACTGTACGTGCAAAAGCGCTCACCATCGCTGTCTTCTTTAGTATCCGCTGGATCATCGTTGAATGTCGGTCGAGAATGCACTGACGCAGGATTTCCTTTTAACACTGTAGATTAGAAAAAACAAAATCATTGCAAAAGCAAAAAGAAAGGAACATTCGTCGTTCCTCGATAACAATAGGTTTCGGAAATCGACCCTTTCATCCGCGACAAAGACTCGGCGATTAAATGTTAATGATTATGTACAAGGACATTTAAACAAAAAGGGAATTTTTTCTCTGTACAGCCGGTGTTGTCCCGTTGTTTACAGTTTGTTAATGCAGCGGTTAATTTGAAAAAAAAAAAAAGAAATATTTACACATACGGGCGATTGGCGTAACGCATTTGTCTTTCGTTCTATTGGTACAAAATTTTGAATAAAAAAATATATATACATATATGTTAGGGAGGTACTTACATTTAATACAAAAAATTCTTTTGGATTTTTTCACGGGGCACCTTGTCAATATGTTCACTATTGCGAGTAAATAATTGTATATAGTGTTTTTTAAATTCTTTTCAGGTAAATATTAGGGGTTGCTATCAGCCATTGAATTTTGTGTTTTCTTTTTAAGAAACCGAATAGAATATACTTTTCGACAATTTTGATTCGACAATGATTTTTTAATACACGTATTTAACATTGGAATATTATTACAAAATAAATTTCTGACCCAACAACTTTCAAGAATAGTCAATTGACATTTATCAAAATCTATTTCACAAACAATATCATCAGACTAAAAACCACTCTTAGATTTATAGAGTTTGGGTGTATGGATATATCATTCGAAATATTAATAAGCTGATAGCAACCTCTAAAACATTATGATATATAATAAAATTTTAAGCAAGCCCGTTTCTCAGCATAGTGAACAAAATGGTTATGGTGACCAAGCAGTATTTTAAATGTTCAATTTTCAGCACCACCCTAATATGTATATGTATGTACCGTAACCGTTAATTTGTATTATTTCTGTGGTGATCGCGTTAATGTGTGGTGAATGAATAGGGTGGTGACGGATGAATTTAAGATCTGAGAAAAAAATATGAGATCTGATCGCGTTTGATGTTTATCGGACAGAGATTCGGGCGATTCGTTTCTTTTTATGGAGCGCATGCTTAGAATTTTTAGCATCGTCACGTTGATCGATAATAATCGACGCCAGTGAATGGATCATAACACGGAATATAAAGTTCAGAATAAATTTCAAACGATGATTCACAGATTCTTGATTAACTACCAGAGATTTACGTTACGTAGAGAATAGAAGATACTTGAAAAGTACAAGAAGTATAATAGTTCTTCGAATAAGTGCATTACCGTTGAGATGTTGCATAGATGCTTATGGATTTCCAACTCTTCGAGTCGTTTCTTTTAGTGTCGATTCTTTTTCCGCGAGAAATCCACAAGAATCTTACCAGCCATTGTACAGTGACGTCAAGTACAGATAGATTTCAAATAGAGGTACATGTATACAGGATGGGCCAAAATTCGTAGTACAAATGAGGCCAAAGAGATAGTACGGCTCGAAATAAGACGAAAATCAAGAATAATGGAATTGCATTTGAGGTTTCGTTTTTGAGATAATCGATTATGAAAATCTGCTAGTTACCCGTGCAATTGAATGGGACTTTGCTACCAGGTCTGTGCATTGCATTCCGTTTCCACTTACTATAATGACTAGACTGAGGATTTTGATGGAAAATCAAATTTTATAAAGTAATTCTTGAAGACAAGAACTATCTTCTCTTAAGTATGTTATTGAGTTAAGAATAAAATAGAAAAGTCGTTGTTTTCGATAAAAGTTTTGTCTTTTATTCGTTTTTACAGTGCTCTAGAGTCTATAAATGCATAAAATCCGCAGTCTAATCATGACGAATACACGCGTTTCAGATTCATTTTCAAATCTGATTTTCTCGAAAATCCAAGCCCCTAAACGTAATTTCGTTATTCTTGATTTTTTCTTCGTTTTGAGTTGCAATATCTACCTGACCTTATTTGTACCACGTGTTTTGGTCCACCCTGTGTACATTACAGAAGTAACGTGACAGGGCTGTTGGATGTGCAGAACTAGGACTCACCTTGGTCCATGGCCCGGGTCCTCTGGGCCTCAGGGACCTCGGGGCGCTCGTCTGCGGGGTTCAGCGACAAGAACAAACGTACTAAATGATAACAATGATGTCACTCAGCCGACCGGCCTTACCTATATGTACAATTGTTTTGTTTGTCATTCGCGCATCGCAGGTTATGTCTAGCAGAGCAGCGAGCAGCGGCGAACATCGAACTTTCGTTTTTATCGTTTTCACATTTCTTCCCCGAGCTTTTCGTGTCTCAGGCAGCAGACTTCACGCACCCAATGAATAGAAATATTCTCGCGACAAACTATGCACACTGGACTGTAGCTATATTGCCACTAAACATATTGCCACGACCTGAACTTATTGCCATTTTACTCCTCTACAGCCCCGACCATGGCAATATAGTTAGAGGCCAATGTATCCTATTCGGACCGTTGGTTCGGAGAGTTTGTACACGGTAATTGCAAAGTGATGTCAGAAAATTTGTAAATTTGTAATTTTATACTCCTGAATGTTGAATTAACAGCAATTACTTTATCAAAAAGGAGTTGGAACAAATTTTTAACTGGTTAAAGGAGTGTATTACGAGAGACTTTCTGTTTATGTTTTAAAAATCTAAAATATGATTTGAAATCACCCTAAAATAAATTCACAATTCACTCTATACTGATGTAAACAGTTCAATAATTGCATTGCAATATACAATATACCTGTAACATTAAGAAAAAAAGTCAGTTGAACAGTGTTACGTCACATCAAGTTTCCAATATGGCTTCCACTGGAAACGTGTTTCACTTAGAACATTTTTTAAAAACTTTTCTTGTAAGATTTGTTTATAAATTTTCTGACATTAATTTAAAATTACCCTGTACATACTTGCTTTTTTACTCCTGTACCAGTTACTACATAAGGGATGTACTCATGCGGTGAATTAGCACGCGATCAATGTCGATCATGCGGAGTACGCGTGAGAAAAGAACATGCATTCTAAGAAAACGTTTCGAAATGATGAAAACAGTCATGCTAGCTTCCACTTAACACGTTGACCTCGATTCTTAAAACTCAATAATTATATTCTGAGAAACTTAATAATCATATTCACATTTCTGTAAATATAGTTAACAGTTGTACAGTTAACTTTTTCAACATTTTCTTAACACATCATTTAGTACACTAATCCTTCTAACTTCACAAAGAAACTCAAGACACTTGGTTCAATTTTGAAAGATTTGTTCTGTTTTAAAGGGTGTACGAATACTTTTTTTACCCACTGTATATTGATTCTACGAGGACTGGATAGAATCGATCGAACATTATTGGACTAGACTTATAGTCACGCAAGTTAGATGTTGGGTCGCGCGAGCACGATAATTGCCATGCAATTGACCACAATTCTATGTGTCAGTCTACGTGTAATTCTACTCTTATTGTTAGCGCTTTGGCATCGATACGAACACGCGGAATCTATCGTTTGGTATCATTTTCATCAGCAAAGTCTCACAAATATGTTAGTGAAATAGTGCTTGAAAAAGAGTAAAAAAAATAAAAAAACATTCATCGTTGTATTAGTGTACGTCCATTAGACGACTTCCTTTTCCATTTACTGTCCTTCTCTAAGTTGAAAATCGGGGTGGAGGGGGATTTTTTGTAATACAGCACAACAAAATACATAAATCTTCAAAAATTCAAATTTATTTTAAATAAAATTAAATACTATTTAATCATAACTAGACTATGGATATTATGTATTTATAGCCCATAGGGTTCTGTGAAATGTAATAAAAGACAAAACGTACATCGAATCTACTGATTTCTCTATTTTAGTTTGATCCCAATAAGATACTTAAGAGGGAAAATAAATTTCTACATTCCCTCCTGTCTTTATAAATTACGTTAGAAACTGTTACTTTGCATAAAAATCCGCATTCTAATCATAACAAAATAGAAGGTTCGGAACAGCCCCACACCCTGGAACGTGGGGCCCAGGACTACAACCCACCCTCCTTCCCCTTGATCAGGTGCTGGCTCTAGTCCCAATTTTCAGGTACTACGTAATTCAAGTTTTACTGTACTTTTAACTGTCTCGCGTCGCGATAGACATGTTACTCTAAGCACTTTCGCGAAACGAGTTAATATGGACGACGTTACTTATGGGATGGCCTGATCGATCGCGTGGGCGCGGATTCACGAAGCGACGAGTCGCGCGCGGGCGGGTCGTTCCCGCGGGCTGACCGCCAGTACCGACCGTGTACACCGACGAGGAAACTCGGTTTCCACTAGGGTAAAAAGTAACGTAGGAAAAGGACCTCCTACCATTTTCTATTTACAATTACTGAAATGTATGCCAAATTAACATTTGATTTAACATTTATTTCACTACCTGGAATAAATTTGCCAAGTGGTAGAAGACTTTTCTTTTAAGCCGTTTTTTCCCCTAGTGGAAGCCAAGTTTGCACGTGGGTGTACGTACACGAGGTCAATTGCTTCAATTCCTCGGGCAGCCGGACCGCGGAGTGTGGGCAAACTTCCGGCAGTATTCACGAATGTTAAGCGGGGCCCGACCATAGAGACGGGGCGGCCCTTCGCGTGCGCGCGACATCCTGTCCCCGGGCGACGCTTGTAATTTATGCCACGATTTAGACGCCGGTGACGACGACCGCGACGACGATCTTCCGGTATTATCCTCAAACGACGCGCGATAAGTATGACTCTTTGTGAAATTTTTATTTATAGAGCCACGTCGAGTACCAAAGTAGGGGAGACCGCTGGTTGTAACACGGGGTAAGTTGTAATTAACCCCTTGCCTTACGATTTTCTTGACGACGGTACATTCAAGCATTACTTTATCGTTAATTATTTCCCAGATACACAAGAAATTTTATCTTTAGGGCAAGTGTAACACTTGCTCTAAATCTTAATATATTAATACCAATTAAACAGAATTTCACTTCGACTCAAAGAAAATTAATAGTATACATGTTTATTAAATCAACTTTGAAATCGTCAACACATTCTTATAAGACAAGGGGTTAAATAATTAAAACTTTTTGAACTTAAAACTTTAAATGGCGATACAGCGAACTTGCTATTTGCTGTAATATTAGTTACTTTTAGGATGAGGACATACAAGAGAGAAACAGGAAGAGGTTCTACTTCTAAAGAAGATATGAAAACTGCACTCACTAAGATATTAAAATAAATGGAAAATTCAATCTAAAGCCATCTATAGATCTGACAATTAGAAGGATGGCAACCTTTCCCTGAACTTTCTACACTCGCGAAAATTCGCTGGAATTTCCAGCAACCACCATTTCCCGCGAGTTACACGACCGCGATGCGTTAAGAAGCAACCTTCACCCAGGAAACGAGGATAGAGAGAGCGCTGAGCGTGGCTAACAGCTCGTAGGCGATTGCAATGCAACGCAAGTAGACAGATTAGCACGTGTTAGGCTGCGTAAGTAAGTATGAGCGTTGCTGTTAATCTCGATTTACGACCGCCATAACGCGTAACCGTGCCCGCGAACATTAACGCTCTCTGCGTTTTCAATTTGTCGCTAATGGGCGTAACAATTAAAACCATTGGATCACATCGAGCATATACAGTTCGTTAAATGTTTGCCAGTAAGTAAATTCACTGGAAAACAAAATGGCGGAAGTTGTAGGAAAATCTGTTAACAGATAGTTTTGCGGGTCGAGATTAACGAAATCGTGTATACCACTCTTGGAAGAGAACGATCCTGGATCCTTTTTGAACAATTTTAAATATCGACACAGTGTGTACTGGGGATGTTCGATTCACTTTTAACACTAGAACTACCAAGTAAGTCAAAATGACTTGTCGATACATTCTCACAACGACGATTAAAATGTTATGACAATACATTATCTCAGGTCTTGTGCACCTTTTATTACGATATAAAAGTGAAGAAATTAATAAATTTCTAAATTTTCAAAATTTTTAGCACGTTTATCCATCGATCGAAGCAAATATGCGTTTATCGTCGGTAGTTCGATTTTCTTGAAAAATCGAAATTAAAGAATCGATCTGAAAATCGTACATAATTGTATACAGATTCTTTTCGATTATCGTCTGGCTTGTTCTACACGATTATTGTCCAGGCATTATTCCCACCATTCGGAGGGGAGTCCGTGGAACCTGTCAAGCAAATACTTTGTTGCCTCGGAACATCCCTAGTGCGTAGGTGTTTTGTAATTGACAGTAAACGCGAAACGAAGCCTCCGAATCCAATCTTCTCCGTGGCGCAACAGCCGCGGCGCCGGTTCGCAAATATCACCGCGTTCAAAATTGATTTATGCAGCGAACAACCTCGGCTGTGACCTTGAATAGCCCGCGTCTACCAGGAACGGCGGCTTTAGGAATGTTTACAGTTTTATTTGATAATTCGGTGGCGAACAAGCGTCGTACACACAGGATTCGAGTGTGATTCGAAAGTGAGAAGGAATCATGTACTCGAGGTGACTGATTCAAATCGAAGAAATCAGATGAAAATCGGTGAAATTTCTGTTCTTCGTCAGCCCTTTAATTATAGTTAATTACAGTTAAAGTTAACGATAACTTCAGGTAAATAATTCGGAAAGACTATTCACTTGAATCAAAGGATCGAAGATCGTTTTCGGGTGAACAACCAAGAGGACTCCGAGTGCTACTTGTCCACCCGAGAATGTTACCCTCGAAGCGTAAATCTCGAGACAGAATAAACCCGTCCCTCGAATCACGCAAAGTGTTTCTTCCATGTGGTTCTTCTTTATGCGGATAAAAACCATCTAAATGGAGTCTGCCTGTATGAAAAAAGAAATTCTCAAGAGAAAAGGCACTATAAGTTATGAAAATGTTTATTTAAAATAATACTAAACGGAACGAATACTCCGCGTAAATCGAGGGACGTGTGTACTCTGGAGGAGGTGTTAACCAGTGGTTCCAGTCCAGAGATCGTACCTCGTGGGAGTCGTATTTTCGAGTGGACACGCAGCCTAAGGCATTCAATGGATTCTCCCTGTTTTATCTTGTGTTGTGAGAAGCACGTGCACCACGTGTTAAACTTACGAGTGAAGTCGTTCGCAAGGCAGGCACCCCATTCTTGCCTGGAGAGTTTCAAATCCCGATTTAGGTCGCACGTGCGGGCGAACGTGCGAGCACATTTCTTCGGCCTTACCGCCTTCTTCGCGAGCCTCCTCAGCTCCTTGTACTCCGCCCTGTCCAGGTAACCGTCACCGTTCTTGTCGAGGGTGACGAATTTCCACGACAGCACGCGCTCCACGTTTTTATCACCTGTCAGATCAACCGATCGTCGGGAAAAATAAACACAAAAAACAGGAAAATACGGAAGGAGGGTCAAACGGTCGGTTAAATGGTAAACCGAATGTTAATTTGGCATTTTCAATGACTCCCGAGACGAAGTTGTAGAAGGCTTTTCCTGTACGGGTCATTCCACGCGAAATCGGACACTTTTTGGATCACCATTTCGGATTTTGTTCACATTTGGATATGTTGTAGTCTTTAGTGATATATCAACGTATTCCGTAGGATTTTGGAACATTTGTTAAATTGTTGATTCTACAGCTGTTTCGAATATAGTGTCAACCTTTTTTCAACGAATCATAACTGTTAAACTAACAATCCGATCAAAATGAGCTTTGTGGATGCTTATAGTGGAGACATGAGAGTACCTAATATAAATTATTTCAGTTAGAAGAAAATATTTTTTAACCATTTATAGCGAGGCACTGTTGAAAAAGTAGAAAAAAATTGAGGATATAGTCTTATTTGTCCTCTTTATGGACGCATTATTCAAAAATATGAAGACTTTAAAATTGGTCATATGAAAATTAATTAAAGTTAATAAGAGAATCCTCACCGTCGGTGGATATATTGGTCCGCCTGTACTCGATCTTGAAGTTCTCGATTAGGTTCCCGTTAAACTTGGACTTCTCCGCGCGATCGCAGGTGTTCCTGTGTTTACTGCTGTACTGCCTTCGCTGCTTCCAGCTCGGCGAGCGCCTCCTTTGCCCGCTCCTGGTGGAAGCAGCAGATCTGGGACCAGGTTTCAAACATCTTGGTCTTTGGTGTCTTACCGAGGTGTCGGGCAACGGTCTACCCTGCGGCGTCACGCACCAACAGTACCCGGTTTCCTCGTGGCACTGCACAGGTGCGTATGTGCCGTCTGGCCGGCAGACTGGTCTTGCGCCGGGCCTGGCGGTCAACCTTGCGGAAAAGCACGCTGGTGTCTCTGGATGGACAGGTTCAATATCACGTGGTCTCGCGTTAGACGGTAAGGAAAAATGAAGTCAGCTGTTATGGCTGCTTGAAGGATATAGCGTTAGCCATAAACCTGGTCGACCCTAAAGTTTATGTGTTTCGGTAGCCTAATCCTGTAATTCGATACCCTTCCCAGATAGCATATGACGCCTTAAACCGTTGCCTTACGACATCGATTCAGACACGTGATAACGATTTCAAACTGAATTTAGTAAAGATATATATTATTCGTTTTCTTCGAGTCGACGTAAAATACCGTATCGCTGGTATTAACAATTCAGATTTAGAATAAATGTAACACTTGTCATAAAAATATAATTCCCTTTGTATCTGGGAAAATATTAACGATCAAGTAACTCTTGAGAGGGTTAAAGATGCCTATTTTACGGCTATTTTAGGTCTAAGGCGTCATTAAGCCGTCTTCTAGGCGTCATGTGCTATCTGGGTTGAGTTATAAAAACTCAATTGGGTACGACGTCAATTTGGAATCGGCTTTTCCGTTTTAATGTAATTAAAGAAATTTTAATAGCGTACTAATTTCAGATTGAAAATACTTCTCTGTCAAGGGGTTAATTTTCGACTGAATTTTCAACGTCGCACAGTGTGTCAATGGACAAATGTCAAAAAGTCAGTGTTGGATCGAAAAATTTTTCTTTAAACGTCCTTATAGGTACTACTCGACACATTGTGCGTCGTCAAGGTATGATTTATACTGGTACTATTTGAAGCAGAGAGTATCACCCTACCTGGACAAGGGCCAGTGTGTTTGATAAGAATAGACATGCCTTGACACTGCTTCGAGATGACCCGACACTGACTCGAATACGTAACACCGTCGCTCCCACATACCGGTGTACTCGCGCCGTCGCTCATCGTGCACTCGGCTATCCTTTTCCTGCACTCCTCCTGAAACACACAATCCGCGCGTGTTGTACACCTGCCAAGAGACATACCAAACGATTTTAATAAAACGCTCGTGACCGAACACCGTTTCGCCGAGTGGCATATGCCTGGTTGAAAAATCTACAGTTTCAAATTTTACAGCTTCAACAGGTATATGGAGTTTTTCAGTGCAATAAACGTAAAACACCATTTTACGGGAAACAGCGCGAGTTTGACCCGCGATGTACACCCACGAACAACCTCGGCTTCCATTAGGGGAAAAAGTTAAACGCGAACAAGTAATATAATATAAAATATTGTACATATAAAGAGAATGTACGGAATCTGTGGTTAAATAAACGCAGGAACGAAAGGTCACGGAAAGATAAAGTCGAGAACGACGAGCTGACTCCCCATTTCGTTTAATCTTTTCAATTTACCAACTATCGTTAACCAAGAATATTTATCATAGCTATCCGTCGATTATTATTCATTGAATTTTCGCCGTCTAATGGCGGAAGCTATATCTTCCTCGATCCGACACGTGCATAATTGAATGGTACACGACTGGAAGACAATACAGCGACTGCATCCAATATCGTCTAGCACCTAATATCGCCAGTCGTAATATCTTGCGAAGAAGGTGTTAAAATCTGTTTGGCGATGAACTGTGGCCAAGCATGTATAGAAAGACACATGATGGTTGCAACGTGTATTAAAGGAGAAGTACATATTTCAATTATGTTTAATTCGACATGTGGCCGGCCGAATGCTAAATTTCATTGCACGATGGACGTCGCCAAGTCACGGTGAGTAATATTTGTGAATCATTTTATGAATACCGCGAGCGTAATCGTTTCGGCCGTGTACAATGTTACTGTTCGCTGGAAGGATGACTACTTACTCTCCCAATCGTGGACGGGCGGGGACGAGAGAGAAAGGAATTAAAATTAAAATCGGCCTGATGTTTCGCGGCGTGACTAATTCTTCGACGATCTTCCTTGAAGACGTCGACCATCGTTCGGTATTCCGAGAAGATCGCCGGCGTATGTATTATGCTATCTATCTGTGACTTCTTCGCCATACACAACACTGGTCTACATGATTTTTGTCTCAGAGAACATTTATAATAATTCTTATAGATTCTTCTGTGCCGATTACGAATCCGTAAACAGTTTCTTCCCATCACCCTCAGTTTCCGAGAAATTTGATTGTTAAAAAAACTGCAATTTTTCAACTTTGAACATTTCCTGTGCTCAAACATTAATAGTTATTTAGTTTATTGTTGCGTCAAATTATTCTGTAGTCTCCCGAATAAAATGGTATACGTTGTTATCGCATTATCAACAATTAAACACGAAAACGGTGAATGGGTTTATTGAACCTTCCCTGTGAACTCTGCGCGAAAAAGGCTCTGACGTGAAAATTGCTCAACAATTAAACACGAAAACGGTGAATGGGTTTATTGAACCTTCCCTGTGAACTCTGCGCGAAAGGCTCTGACGTGAAAATTGTTGGGATCGAAAGGCCTCGGCGCTGTTTCAGGAATGATTCATTCGGAATAGTTTGAAACAGAGGCGTCTTTAACAGTGAGGAGGCGCCTCTATCCAGTAAAGAAGGCGCCTCCGATCCATCAGAAGAGGCGCCTGGATCGTTACGTCATGCATATGCATCGTTCGGAATGTGAACACACGATTTACGATGTTGAACGCACGGACACGGCCGTTCCAGTAATTACACCCGTCAAAATTATTGAATGTATCACTGCGAACGCGTTGCCGATTATCGCGCATGACATACTGCTACCATCGTTTTCCTGTCTGCGTTTCTTACGAGCAAAACATACGATCAGTAGAAATATGCCTCTTTTTTTTTCGACACATTTACCGTTAGGCGAACTTCTCTCTAATTTTCTGTTTTATCGTGTTAATCCTTTCGATGTTTATGTCGAGTATACTCGTCACGAAAAGATGACATTTTTTTGTTTAGTATACTTGTCAATGAGTAAAAAATGTTGTGCTTGCTATTTAAAGTAAAATTTAGGTAAAATAAAAAATATATTCCTGATTTTAACACATTTTAGAATATTCTAGGACAAAAGAAAAAAAAAAGATATATGCAGTAGTATAGAAAAGGGGAAATATAGTTTCAACGATTTATGAGTTAAAACACGAAATAAAGTGTGTCTGACTACGTACGGCCTTTTTCACTGCGGCAGTCAACGTGTTAACGTTTTCTTAAGTTAACATTTTTAATAAGAATTATACTTATTAATGTTTGCTAACAGGTTAACCTAAAAATGTGAGATATTAAAAGTGCAACAACTTTTACTGTACCAAATTTTAAGACTAAGGGAAACAGTAATGTAGGCAAAGGGCCTCCTATTACCTAGTATTGGGAATTATTTAAATTTATATCAAATTAACGTTCAATTCAACATTTATTTCGGTACTTGAAATAAATTTACCAAGTGGTAGAAGGCCTTCCTCTTACGCCACTTTTTCCCCTAGTAGAAGTCAACTTTGCTCGTGGGTGTACATACGTAACAATCTATTCCAGGTCCAAGAGACACCCCGCGGCTCCAAAGGTGGCGCCCAATCATCGCAATGCGCACACGCCCGCGCGTTCCCGGGAACGCGTGACACCGATGCAACGCGATGCAACACAGCGTAATAGAGTGCAATACAGCGCACGGTGTATAATTGCGCTACACGTTGAATGATAACGATCGACGTGTCGCTTGACGCCGCTACGGACTGCGGCGATTAAAGGGAAAACGACATACGTGACGGTAAAATTATACTGTAATCGCCCACGAATTACACGCGGACCATTTCCTGAACCAATGAGATCCAATTGCACTTTTTGCTAGAATCCCTGCGGCTGATTCCTCTCCTCGCCGTCAGGCGATCATTTTCTTTTTTCTTGTTTTTTTTCTCTCCTCTTTCACGACGATCAGACTGTTCGTTCGAATACCAACTGGACGGACTGTTCCGTGATTTCCGGCTGACGATCGAAAGCCTTCGGGGCGGCAATTTAAACGTTCCCGATAAACGTTCGAGATCGAGACGACGTGCGTTGCCTTTCCATTTCGCGTAATCGTATCGCTGCGAACCAGACCGATTTATCGAGTTCCGACGCGTAAGAAAGGACGTAATAAAAATATTGCAGGTCCCTGAAATGGATCACTCGTGAAGCGATTTGGAACAAGTATTTAAATTCATATATTTATATCAAATAGTAGTAGCTCGATAAGTAATTTCATGGAAACAGTTCTGAATATCAATCTCTGAGGAGCTAACTTTAGCCAGGCTTAGTCGTTTCTTCTTCAGACACCCCGTAGCACGTTGCAAACTGTTCAGGCGAGTGAACGCGTGTAGCCACGATGACATAACATGATTAGAGATTATCTACGGCGGTTAAGTGGCGTCACAGTGATGCACCTGCTTGTGACATCCAATGCAGTATAAACGATACCCAATGAATCAGAAGGCGGTCTCAAACGGCGCGTAGATCGGCGAGTCTGTTGGCCTCATCGGTAAATAACGACGAAAGGAAAATAGTCGAATCGTAGCTGTGATCATATTGCGACCAGGCCTATCGAATATATTATTACTAGACTGCGGATTTTATGCATTTATAGCTTATAGGGCTCTGCGAAATCCAATAAAAGGGTAAATTTATATCAGATTACAGTAAAAATACAGTTCCGATAAGTACAGAATTCCTTTCGTTTCTCAGCAACTATCGACAAGAATGTAATTCTGGTGTCTGCAGACGTGAAGAAAATCGTAGGGCAAGGGGTTAAGGGAGACGGTGTGTGTATCCAATGATGGGTTTCTCGGGAGAGGTGTTGTTTCTTTCTGCAAACCCGACGACGAGAGAAACACAGTGATTTGTCAGTGTCTCTGATTATAAGGTCGCCACCGAGGGCGCTTGGAAAATAGCGATTAACGACCAGTCACTTATATGTGCCAATGTAGCACGTTATTAGTCATGGAACTGTATTCCATATGCTGATCGGTCGATCAGTGGCTCTGCCACGAGTATGACTGATGTTGCAGAGTTGATCGTGTATTTAGAAATGGATATTTTTAGCGTAAACTTTCGAGATTTAAAAATAAGATTGGTTTTCACACGACTCGAAATTTTATTGCGATTGTTTTCTTTATTATTGCTTTGTCAATTATTTGTTGGCCTAGTTATCTTTGATTAGTGAAACTTTATACGATTTATTTAACCCTCGTCCGTCCCTAGTTTTCTCAATTATATAATGAAAAACAATTAATACAATGAAGAGATAAGTTGTTAAATTTGTAAATTCTTTCAAATAAAAGCCACGAAGCCTCAGCTAAATTTACCTATACATAACAGAATAACGTTATTTCTTAGAAGAAAAATGTACTCTGAAATTACTGCTGACCGATATTGCTCTAACAAAAAAAAATTAGTAAAACTCATTTCTGAAATGTGTGGAGAAGATGTCAAATAAATTCCCAAAGAACACTCTTTTTTCGGCCTCCTGACTGAGCATGACCCCTTAAGAGGACATGTGCTATAACAGCAAATGCGTAAAATGCAGTAATAAGTTTGTTCGAACTCTTCATTATTCTGCGAGCTCTCCATATATCATCCCGCTAAATCGACTGCCATCGCAAAATCCATTTCTCCGTTAAATTATGCACGATCCTTTTAGCACGTTCCTCTCTTACACCCTCTGTTCGCGAAGCGTCGCTTCATAAACGCGTATTGAAACAGCGAATCGCGTATATACGCCTTGGCCTCTGTCCACAAAGCATAGAGGAAGCTTCACGTTAGTTATGAAAACGTCGAGACACAAAGAGAACGTGATAAACCTATCTAATTATTAGCAATTATATTCGATACAGAAGAAACTGTTAAAGATTCCGTTCAACCCCTGCTATTCTCTTTCACTTGCTCTTCACGTTTGTATCCGTTCGGTTAAAATTATTTTAAATTTCGAAACAAAACTATTAACAACAACATGTTATGTAATGAAGTTT